AAAAAAAAAAAAAAGGACAAGAAAATGATCATCTTAACTGATGTAGGAAAAACGTTTGAAAAAATTCAGTGACTCATTCAGGATTTTATTATTATTATTTTTTTTAAGACAGGGTTTCACCATGTTGGTCAGGTTGGTCTTGAACTCCCGACCTCAGGTGATCCACACGCCTTGGCCTCCAAAGTGCTTGGATTACAGGCGTGAGCCACCATGGCTGGCCAGGATTTTACTATTTTTAATTTTTCTTTTTTCTTTTTTTTTTTTTACTGGATTGGTACAAAAGTATCATTCAGAATTTTAAAAATATTCTCAGCAAAATAAAACAATCCCTCAATATGATAAACGCCATTATCAGGAACCTCTAAGGAAGGTGTACCCAGGCACCACCCACCTTATCAGTCAGTCCCTTATTAGTCAGGAAATTCCATCAGTATTAGGATTAGGGTGGGAGTCGAAAATTCATTCATTAATTCACTCCACAGAGATGGAGTTGTAGTAATGTAAATCAACAGGAAGTAAAAAATAAAAGAGAGATGAAGTTTTAGTAATACGTGACGTTCCTAGTTTTGAGTTTGACAAGGAAGGGTTCAATCTGTTCCTGAGATTAGACAGAAAAACAAAACCTGAACGGTTTATGGTTCAGAGATCTTTGGCTGTACCAAAATTATCCAAATGAATTCTTTTTTTTTTTTTTTTTTTGAGACGGAGTTTCGCTCTTGTTACCCAGGCTGGAGTGCAATGGCGCGATCTCGGCTCACCGCAACCTCCACCTCCTGGGTTCAGGCAATTCTCCTGCCTCAGCTTCCTGAGTAGCTGGGACTACAGGCACGCGCCACCATGCCCAGCTAATGTTTTGTATTTTTAGTAGAGACGGGGTTTCACCATGTTGACCAGTATGGTCTCGATCTCTTGACGTCGTGATCCACCCGCCTCGGCCTCCCAAAGTGCTGGGATTACAGGCTTGAGCCACCGCGCCCGGCCCAAATGAATTCTTGACTTGCATCCTAGTTCCAACACTTTCAGTTTCATGATCGGAAATCTGATTCAACCGCTTGGATTGAATGAATACCTGAATTCACAAGTTTCACTGGGCGGAGCTTCAGAAATCCAATCAGGCATCACTCTCTGATGGGAAGCTGGTATTTGGAAAGGGGAGGTGCGATGAGAAAGGTTCAAGAAAGCTGGCGAGCAGCCGCAGAAGAGATCCAGAGCAGGGGTGCCTGGAGTTACTGTCTTATTCTCCAAGAGGTCCGAGCACACTGCAAAGTGAGTTCCGATCTGGTAAGTCGGGGACCTCCACAAGGGCACTTCCATGATCCACCATCAGCCAGTAGGATGGAGATAATGCAGGTCAAGGCCACACAGAATTCTCCTTCCTGTTTTTCAGATAAATAGATGCAGTCTTTGAAATTTCCTCTAATACAGTTTTATCTACACTTCAAATTTTTTATTTTATTATTATTTTTTTGAGACGGAGTTTCGCTCTTGTTGCCCAGGCTGGAGTGCAATGGCGTGATCTCAGCTTATGGCAACCTCCGCCTCCTGGGTTCAAGCGATTCTCCTGCCTTAATCCCCTGAGTGGCTGGGATTACAGGCAGGCACCACCACACCCGGCTAATTTTGTATTTTTAGTGGAGGCAGGGTTTCACCACGTTGGTCAGGCTGGTCTCAAACTCCTGCCCTCATGATCAGCCCACCTCGGCCTCCCAAAGTGTTGGGATTACAGGTGTGAGCCACTGCACCGGCTTTTCTTTTCTTTCTTTCTTTCTTTCCTTCCTTTCTTTCTTTCCTTTCTTTCTTTCTTCCTTTCTTCCTTCCTTCCTTCTTTCCATCTTCCTTCCTTCCTTCCTTTCTTTCTTTCTTTTCTTTCCTTCTTTCTTTCCTTCTTTTTTTTTTTTTTTTTTTGAGACGGAGTTTCACTCTTGTTACCCAGGCTGGAGTGCAATGGCGCGGCGATCTCGGCTCACCGCAACCTCCGTCTCCTGGGTTCAGGCAATTTTCCTGCCTCAACCTCCTCAGTAGCTGGGATTACAGGCACGCGCCACCATGCCCAGCTAATGTTTTTTTTGTATTTTTAGTAGAGACGGGGTTTCACCATGTTGACCAGGATGGTCTCGATCTCCTGACCTCGTGATCCACCCGCCTCGGCCTCCCAAAGTGCTGGGATTACAGGCTTGAGCCACCGCGCCCGGCCTCTTTCCTTCTTTTCTTTTCTTTTTTCTTTTCTTTTCTTTCCTTTCCTCTCCTCTCCTCTTCTCTTTCTTTTCTTTTTCTTTTTCTTTTCTTTTCTTTTTTCACGCTTGTCTCCCAGGCTGGAGTGCAGTGGCAGGATCTCGGCTCAGTGCAACCCCCACCTCCCAGGTTCAAGCCATTCTTCAGCCTCAGCCTCCGGAGTAGCTGAGATTACAGGCTCATACCACCACACCCAGCTACTTTTTGTATTTTTTCTTTTTAGTAGAGACAGGGTTTCGCTATGTTGGCCAGGCTGGTCTCAAACTCCTGATCTCAGGTGATCCACCTGCCTTGGCCTCCGAAAGTGCTGGGGTTACAGGCTTGCACCTATAAAATAGGTGGGAGGCCATTGCTCCCGGCCTAGTTTTAAATGGACATAATGGTGAGATAGCCATGTGGTTGGGGGTCCCCAGAGAGTCTCCCACCAGCCTGCGCACTGTGGGAACGCGCAGTGGGGTGGAGCTTCGGAAGTTGCGCTCTTTGCAGCGGGGAGGAGTCTGGCCTTGAGGAGAGTTCCTGTTCCCTCTTTTTCCTTTTCATGCAATATAATCCTGCTTTACTCGCCCTTCAAACCGTCTGCGAGCCTGAATTTTTGTGGCCATGGGACGAATAAGGACCCAGTCTTTAGCCGAACTAAGAAGTCCTGCAACAATGGAACCTAATTTAGGGAGTCCCTTTGGTCTCCCAACGGGGTTCACTGATGGAACTGAGATTGTGGGCTGTGTGGGGCCACAGGAAACTCCCATTCCCATTGTTTTCAACCTTTAAATTGAGAAGGCATTTCTTTTTTGGTGGGAGGGGGGACAGAAGTCTCGCTGTGTTGCCGAGGCTGGAGTGCAGTGGCAGGCTCTTAGCTCACAGCAAGCTCCGCCTCCGGAATTCAAGCGATTCTCAGGCCTCAGCCCCACCCCCCCAGTAGCTGGTCTACAGGTGCCCACCATCACATCCGGCTAATGTTTTTGCATTTTTAGTAGAGACCGGGTTTCAGCATGTTGGTCAAGCTTGTCTTGAACTCCTGACCTCGGGTGATCTACCCGTCTCAGCCTCCCAAAGTGGTAGGTTTATATGCATGATCCACTGCACCAGGCCTTTTTTTAAATTTTGAGACAGAGTTTCACTCTGTCCCCCAGGCTGGAGTGCAATGGCATGATCTCAGCTCACTGCACCTCTGTCCCCTGGGGTTCAAGCGATTCTTCTGCCTCAGCCTCCCGAGTGGCTGGGATTATTTTTGAGACCGAGTTTCACCATGTTGATTGACCAGGCTGGTCTCCAATTCCTGACCTTATGATCCACCCACCTCCACCTCTGAAAGTGCTGAGATTACAGGCATGAGCCACCGCTCCTGGCTGAGAAGACTTTTTTTTTTCTCAAAAAAAGCGGAGATCTGAGCTTCAGAGATCGCCGTCAGTAACATTTCACAGTGCTGTTAGAGTTTAGTGGAGCAATGGCTAATAATTCATGGACTAGGAGTGATCTTGCCTGCTTTTTACTTTATTTTATTTTATTTTTTAAATGGGGTTTCACCATGATGGCCAGGCTGGTCTTGAACTCCTGACCTCAGGTGATCCACCCACCTCGGCCTCCCAAAGTGCTAGGATTGACAGGTTTGAGCCACCGCGCCCGGCCTTGCCTGCTCTTTAGAGGTTGGGACATACTCTTGGTATCAGAAGGGAGGAACTGTGCCTCTGTGGCCACTTACTGCAGAATGGATTTGGGGTAAACTGAATGCTCTTTTTTCACATATGCTGGAGAAATGACTTTGGCCCTGGGAGAAGTGGGGGTTGCGGAGATCGGCCTGAGAAGCTTGCTTTTTCAAAGCTGGACTGCCCTCTAGCGTTTTCCTTGCAGATTTATCGGAATGAGCCTGCAAGCCCCACGCAGACTCGTGGAGCTGGCAGCGCAGAGCCTGCTGAGGGACCCGTGCTTGAACACCTCCACTCTGGATGAGCTGCCAGGGGAACTCTTCCCCCTGATGTTCATGGAGGCCTTCAGCAGCAGGCACTATGAGATTCTACAGGCCATGGTGCGGACCTGGCCCTTCCCCCGCCTCCCTCTGGGGTCCCTGATGAAGACACCTCACCTGGAGACCTTGCGAGCTGTGCTAGAGGGACTTGATTCACTGGTGTACATGAAGGTTCGCCCCAGGTGAGGTGACTAGGTGGCCTGGTGGGAAGGGCCTAGACATCTAGAGAAGGGACAGCTGGCTCGGCAGGAGTGGTGGAGTTGGGGAGCAAGGATGGCTCCCATGGTGCTGGTGATGAGAGGCCTTGGTCATTGCCCAGCTCCTTGGGAGCTCCCACCATGCAGGGTCCACTGAGCAAACAGGAACGTGCTTCCTCCCAGTGGAAGGCTAAGGAACTAGTGGATATCAGGAGTAATCAAAGGGGGAAATGGATGGAGAAGAGACAGAAGGGGACAGGAACAGCTGGTTGACGTCTTGAACGTGGAGTGAAAGCTCAGGTCTTCCCCAGGAGCAAAGATGGAGCTCCCGTTTCCAAAGACCCATCCCCATCAGTGCTGGGGCCTTGCCTACATTCTAAGCCTTTCCCCTATTTCACCCACAGGAGGTGGAAGCTTCAAGTGCTTGATTTGGGGAATGTCGATGAGAATTTCTGGACCACGTGGTCTGGATCCAGGGCCCTGTGGTGCTCCCCAGAGGCCACGAGTAAGAGGCAGACGGTGGAGGACCGTCCAAGGACGGGAGAGCGTAAGCCGTTGATGATGTTCATACATGAGCCCTTGAAGGTGTTCATAGATGTCGGCCTCAACGAAAGTACCCTGGATGAGTGGCTGAGCTACCTCTGTGGCTGGATTCACCACAGAAGAGGTTTAGTACAGCTGTGTTGTCGTAAGGTGCAGAATTACCCAATGCCCGCTTCACAATTCAGAAAATTAGTGGAAATGGTATACCCAGACAGTATCCAGGAGTCGGAAGTCCAGAGAAAGTGCTCACTGGGTAGACCACCAGGAAAGTTTGCCCCTTATCTGAGCCAGTTAAGTGAGCTTCACAAAGTCTTGGTAGCCTTCGGTTATGATCATGAGTTATCCGTGTGCGCCCAACAGCAGTTCATTCCTGACTTGGAAACTCCGTCTCAGCCTGGGCCCTGAGAGGTTTTTTTTTTGGTTTTTTTTTTTTTTTTTTTTTTTTG